TTCCTTGAAAAAAAAAATGGATTTTTTTGGTCTTTGTATAAATTAGGGAAAACTTTTTTTAACCTCCAAAATTATGTCTATTTTTAGAGTTTGCATTACTATTTTTTTTTTTCTTGACAATTTGTTCTGAAAGCATGACCAATTTTCTAATGTGTAAATGACCAATATTTTTAAGGTGTAAATTTTATGAAAAATCCAAAGGTCAGAATTTTATCAGATCAATTATTAGCTTTTTTTTTTTAGCTACTAATCAAAATTGACTGTTGGATTTTCATAAGATTTATATTTACTTAGTTAGAAAAATCGTCTTCTATCTAAGCTTTCAAATGACACATTTTAATTCAGAATCGGATACCTTGATTATTAGAAAACTTGAATTAAAATTTTTTATATGCATTCATGCTCCTACTATTTTCGTTGGTCAACAAATTATACCTCATTTTGTTCGTCTCGTCATGTGCTTTAAAAGCCCTAAATTAGACGTGCCTAACAACAGCCTTGGTAATATAATTTGTCGATTTTTTTTTTTTCTTAAATGGGATTTTTGTAGGTACATATAACTCAAGGAGACCATGATGGAAAAGCAGTGATTGTATCATGGGTAACTGCAGAGAAACCAGGCTCAAACATAGTCCAATATTGGGCTAAGAACAGCAATCTCAAGAAACAGGCAAAGGGGAGAGTGAACACTTACAAATTTTCCAATTATACTTCTGGTTTTATTCATCACTGCACTATCAACAACTTGAAGGTAGATTTATATTTATTTATTTGTTTGTTTGTTTGTTTCACCTTTTTATTAATATACTTATTAAGGACAGTGTCGATACACTTGTGAATAATTGTGAATGGCTTTACAACCCAACAGCAAAACTGACATAAACTAAAGTCTTCAACATAAACTTGTTTCTATTTACCTTAATGTCTTCTTTTGTATTAAATTGGTAACTTTTTTTTTAATTTTTTTCCTTCTTTTGTTCAGTATGATACCAAATATTACTATGTAGTTGGGACTGGGCACGAGAGCCGAACATTTTCGTTCACCACGCCTCCACCAGTCGGCCCGGATGTTCCGTATACATTTGGTCTGATAGGTAACTGAGTTTTTTTCACTAATGTCTGGTCGATATATAAGCCTTTGGAGTTGGTAACATTTTAGAATGCTATGACTATATAAGGTGCCGTAATTTCACAGTCTTTCGTGTTTGGTAATGATCATGTTGAAGATTTTTAAAGTAAGCTGGTTTTGAGAAAGAAAATTGTAAAGTTGAAGTATCAGCTATAATTTTGTTTAATGTTACTTATGAATATTGTTTTCACTTGTAGGTGATCTTGGTCAGACATACGATTCCAACCGTACGCTTACACATTACGAGCAGAACCCAGTGAAGGGACAAGCTGTGTTGTTTGTTGGGGACCTTTCTTACGCCGACAATTATCCTAATCACGATAATGTGAGATGGGACACATGGGCAAGATTTGTCGAAAGAAGCGTGGCTTATCAACCGTGGATTTGGACAGCTGGAAATCACGAGCTAGATTTTGCTCCCGAAATCGTGAGTGCCGTGCAAATTTTTTCATTATCCTTAAATATAAACCCTCTTTTCGGAACATTTTTTTCTATATTTTTTGATAGTTTCATTTTGATATTTTTTTCATTGTTTTTTAGGTGTGCCTCTTGTATTTGTTGTTTATATATTAATTTTTCGAGTTAATTTCTCGTTTATATTGAACAATCAAACAATTCATTTCGTTAAATCTTATGTTGCTTTCAATAATGTTTACATTGCAGGGCGAAAACGAACCTTTCAAGCCGTATACCCACCGTTATCACGTCCCTTACAAAGCATCAGAAAGTACTTCTCCTCTTTGGTATTCTATCAAGAGAGCTTCTGCTTACATCATAGTATTGTCTTCATATTCGGCTTACGGTAAGTTTTTTATCGTTTGCCCTGAATTTTCGGTATCGAAAAAACTAAAAAATACAATTGAAAATCCGTTCACGATAATTTGTTTGTACCTTCTAGGCAAATACACTCCTCAAAACTCGTGGCTCGAAACGGAGCTGCCTAAAGTGAATAGAACCGAGACTCCGTGGTTGATTGTGCTCGTGCATTCTCCGTGGTACAATAGCTATGAATATCACTTTATGGAAGGAGAAACAATGAGAGTAATGTACGAGCCGTGGTTCGTGCAATACAAAGTCGATGTCGTGTTTTCTGGCCATGTCCACGCGTACGAACGTTCGGTAAGCTTTTCCAAATGTTCGTTTTCCTGTTCAATTGTGTGCTTTTTTAGTTGACCTGAAAAAGGTAAAAAGTACATTTTTAGTTTGTTGGTCAATTTTAGTCCCAAGGTTCCAACTTTTTTTCTTTTGGCTCTCTGATTTTTTTCACTCCCTCCCTCCCTTGAATGTTGACTGAAATTGTAACAAAATTTTAAATTACAGTCGAAAGTTTAAACTACACGACTTAAATTGCTAATCGAAAATTTGGTAATTTGTTGCAATTTGAAGACTGAAATTGCAGCAAAATATTAAATCACATGACCAAAAGGCAAAATGTTGGAATTTTGAGACTAAAATTGTTATGTTTGTAAAACGAACAGAACTACAAATGCAATTTGCCCCGAAAAAAAAAAAGTGTCATTTAGCTTTTAGTTCTAAATTATGCGTCACTATTGCTGATTGGACAATTATATTTTTCTAGGAACGTGTGTCGAACATTGCATACAATCTCGTGAACGGGAAATGCTCTCCGGTGTGCGACCAGTCGGCCCCTGTATACATAACCATTGGAGATGGAGGAAATATTGAAGGTTTAGCCACAACGTAAGACTGGAAAATAATAACTTTTTTATTTTTTATTTTTTATTTTTATCAGGCAATTTAAGCTTATGTAAACCATAAAAGTCGAATGTAATTATCTTTTACTTTTACTTGTTTTTTCAGCATGACAGAACCTCAGCCCGAATACTCTGCTTACCGAGAAGCCAGCTTTGGCCATGCCACATTCGAAATCAAGAACCGAACTCACGCATATTACAGCTGGCACCGAAATCAGGATGGATATGCCGTAAAAGCCGATTCCATGTGGTTTTTCAATAGACAATGGAATCCGGTCGATGATTCTACTACTGCTCGTTCGTGACGAATTGCAACATTTTTATTTTGGTTAATCTTTTGCGATCGATAAATGGGTTTTTCCTGATCGATACTTTGTTTTCAGTTGAACTGCGACGCCTCTGAGTTTCAATTAAGTTTAGTATCGGTTTTCAGTTTTTCAAAATTTCAAAGTTTGACCTTCTAGAAATCTGGGTTCTTGATGATGTTCGTCTTCTTGCTTTTGGGTGCATGTTTTGAGAATATTGGAATAAATACCAATTGAACTGGACATGACCTTTGTGTTTTGAGTTGTTTTGACTTTTGGGTTTTGAATTATGCATATTATAAATGTATGCTTAGTATCCTTAAAGAAAATCGGTTGGGATTGATGGTGGTGACTGGTGACGACGTAGTCATGGGTGAGTTTGATGTTGTCTTGGTTGAGTATGGTGGCAATGTCGAAAAGGAGCTGCTCAGCATTTCTCGCGACTCGCGAGTCGGAGTTGCGACTCGCGTGATTGTCGCGACTCGGGAGATGGTCACGACTCGCGAGTCCAACAGAGCCGAATTGACGATTTTCGCGAGACGAGTCGCGACTCGCGAGTCAAGGTCGCGACTCGCGAGATGGAGTCACGTCTTTCCCCAGATTTTTAAAGATTTTGCCGACGCGCGAGTCGCGGCATAAGTCGCGAGTCGCGGCTTCCATGTTCTTCATGTCGCGAGTCGCGAAATTATGTCGCGAGTCGCGACATTTTTTCGCGAGATAGGTCGCGAGTCGCGAGACTTTCGCGACTCGCGAATCGAACAGAGGCCGATATCATTTTTTCGTGGGTAACTCGCGACTCACGACCTCTCAAGTCGCGAGTCGCGACTGTTTGCTCGCGAGTCGCGAGACAAACAGAGAGGTCGGTCATGTTTTCGTATGGTAAGTCGCGACTCGCGACTATATCTCGCGAGTCACGAAATAATTTTTTTTTAAAAAAAATTAATTAATTAAAATGCCTAATTACCTGCATAATTACCCAATAGAAAAGCAAAGATATGGAACAAAATGCAAAAAGAAAAAGGGAAAGATTCAATCGTACAGAGCACAGTGACTAGACTAGTCACTGTGAGTTCGGTGGTGCAGGCGGAGGGTCGAGATAGTCAGGCCCCGAACAGCAACAGGCGTCGAATAGCAACAGGCGTCTGACACATCATATCTTTTGCCCCAGAGGGACCGGGGCAGCTCCATCGAACCTAGCTGAGAGGTGGCAATGTGGCGGTTGTTATGGACATGGCCTTGCAGTGGCCTCTGCGTGAATCCTCGCATATACGCTTCCTCAGTAAGTTTGTCCATCATTCGAAGGAGTGCACCATCTTCCTCAATCGTCCCCTGCGGCTCAGGCTGAGTCCTTCGGTCGGAAATGAAGATGGACTCCCCCAACACGGTCATGCTCGCGATCCCTTTCTTCACATCAATAACCGTGCTGGTGGTCGCCATAAAGGGTCGGTCGAGAAGGATGGTGTATTGCCTCCCGTATTTTAACTCATCCCCCATATCTAGCACAACAAAGTCCACGAGGACTATCAGCTTCCCTACTCGAACCAACACATCTTCCACAATGCCCTCGGGTTGACGTATCGAGCGGTCGGCTAACT